TGCATGTAGCACGAATTTCCGCATGAAATGCGGTACTAAAATATTCCAGCAGAATAAGAAAGAGATATTTACTTTTTATTGGGATCCAGAAAAAGACTACAATGTTTAGAGGTAATTCATAGTATTATGTGTCCAGTCAAAACCAAGACTGAGACTGATACAACTAGACAAAGACTGAGATCAGGAGATGAATCAAGTTAGGATCAAATACTTTAGTGTATTCTTTGTCGTTAATGGTATAACAACAGCAATCTGTAAGACAATGTTTCTAAATTACCCAACAAGTGGTTAAGACTGAGATAAGAGGGATGTATTGTTGAAAGTGACAAAAGGGGGAAACATAAACCATCTAACTAAACGGATCCTGAAATTATTAAATCTGTTATGTCCCACATTTCATCTCTCCCAAAGTATAAATGTCAATACAATCGTGAGAGATCAAAGAGAAGTTATTGAACGAATGTACGATCTTTACAAATTACTTTATACTTGTGACGATTGCGATATGTTTTCAGCAAAACTTAAAGGGATGTAGGATGGCACTGAGAAACAACTTCTGTAAATAGAAAAAGATTTACCTTTAATTATTGAAGCTGATAATAGGTACAAACATAAATCGCAGGATATGTCTGAATCAAAATACAGACCTAAAATGGGGTTAATTTCTATAGGAGAAAAATTTGTATATTAAATTACAATATTTATGATGGTTCTGACATTTCTATTTATGTGGGATAAAACTAAAGCTCAAAGGGATGGAAACGAAATAGCTTCAAACATCTTAAACTGGGCATCTAAAAATGTACCAGGATCAGATATTGAACAAATGACCATATCAGTCAGTGACCAGGTCAGATAACTGTTATGTGCAAAATAAGAATATTTATGTTGTCATGTGCATGTTTTTCCTTCTTAAAAATTTTCCCGCGTCTCACCCCACACACCCCGCACGATTGCCCCTCTAGACGTCTCGACGTTATTACTTAATTCTTTTTTACTATCAGTACCTATCTAACAAAAAAAAAAAAGAAATAAATTCACCTTGAACAACTTGTTTCTGAAATCCTTCGGTAATTTTAAAGAATGATATATCTGAAACCTTTTTTTGGGCATTCGGCATCCATCCACGCGACAATTATAGTAGGAGCGACGTTTTTCCATTAAAAATTATCAAATAGGTAAAATAATATAAATAACACTAAACAAAGACTATTTCAACAAGTATTTACAAAAAAAAACTAATTACGTAAACACCGTTAAAAAAAAGTTTATCGACCAAATTGGCGATATTTTGAAAATGGGCCACATTAGAAGTACCCTTAACCGACGAGCAAGTATGCGTAGATATATGGATGTAAAGGAGGCGAAAGAGGTATGTCAGGATCGTGCCAAATGGAAGTCCGTAGTCTCTGCCTACCCCTCTGGGTGACAGGCGTGAGTGTTTATGTTACGTTAAAAAACTCAAAACAAACATTCAAACGCCTACAACGCGCTAGCCCCGACTGCGTATGTTACCCTGGGTGCCTAGCGATTGTAGGTAATTATTTCACGCAGGTAGCAAGAGTGACAGAGGGCTGGTAACAGTTAGTTCAGTATCTTCTTTCTTCAATATTAAAACACAACCTACATAAATACAGCCCACTAAGCTCTCATTCATTACACAATAGTTTCTTTAAGTTTATTAGTCAGACAGATATCACAATTTTTTAGTTTCTTCTTTCTTCACCACAGTAAATTATAATAAATAATTAGTCAAATACAGTCCACTTAGCTCTCCATCAACTACAATACATATCAATGATAATCGTTAATAGCAGTGTTCCATTTCAGGCTTACTTCACGTACTAATTTCTAATTTTATAGCTAGTTGTGGGGTAAATTTTTCCTCACACTTGTAACCCTAAATATAGTGACGTATTTTCTTTTGTCCCTTTCTACGACACGCTATGGCGGAGTCTATAGGATTCTCTGTCTACGAATCCAGATCCCAAAACACGGCAACCTAGTATATACACTGATACACAGTAATCTATGACGGCAACTTAAAATTTCGAAATGGCAACCCTGATCCGCGCCATTATTGTCATTTCCATCTGTTGCTGTTGTTTTGACCTCGGTATTGTTTTACGGAGTGATTTTTTCACATCTTGGATAATTGTGAAAGACATCATGCAAACTACTAAACAAAGAAAACTACACTGAAAAACTATGTGTTAATTGTAACATATGCATTGATATGCACTTCGCCGCCACCTCGTTTTTGAGCTTTATACCAGAGTAATTTCTAAGATCTGCGAGTGGAATTCTTCAATCCCACTCGCAGATCTTAGAAATTACTCTGGTATTGGTCTTCAAATAGTACGTATTTACATACCTACTTATTTTATTAAGCTAACATAATAGTACATCATCATAATACAACTCTTATTTTTATTTTAGATCACTGAAGATGATTACGTATGTGATGCCCGTCAGCAATTGCAAAACAGCATGTCAACTCCGGGTTGCCTAATGAACCTGGTGCCTCATCTTCTCGTGGCCACAAGCATGTTTGCATACTTTGTGGAAGTTCTCTGAGGAATCGTAAACGTGACCTTATTGTTAGAGAGAATCTGGTAACGCCAGTTAACAAACTACTTTATCAACATTACATTACATATCGCATTGAGTTCGTCCTAAGTTATATCTACTTTATCAACATAATGAAATGACTAGTGCATATTTGATTCCTTCCTTCCTTCCCTTTCCTACTGCACGTGCTGCCGCCGAGGTGAAGAAAAGATCTCGGCGCGCGTCTTATTAAGTGACATTACGTTCTCCGCAACGCACGGCCAGTCATATTATATTAATTACTCACGAAGCCAGAACATAAGAAACGGCAGTTATTTAAAACGACATCATCATAATTCATCCTCACCCTCCTGTCCTCATCGTAATTGGTTTGAGTTTGACAGCCTGTCTTCTCCTCCGCATATACGTATATCGATAATAATTGATAATAGCAGTGTGCCTTTGCAGGCTTACTTTACGTTCTTATTTCTAATTTTATACCTAGTTTTGGGGTAAACTTTTCCTCACACTTGTAACCCTAAATATAGTGACCTATTTTGTTTTTGTCTCTTTTTGCGACAGGCTTTGCCGGTGTCTATAACATTCTCTGTCTACGCTTACTATCCTAACGTATTTAAAATGACTATAAATCAATAGCACGCTATAGACTATAAACTACAAATTTCTAGCGCGCTATTAAATGCGCTACGTTACAGCGCGCTATTTTAAAATTTATTGATTGTATATACAATGACACACATCAGACACCCCAATTAGTATATTATGCTATAATCATAATACATAAACCGAATTTTTTGTTAAAACTTTTTATGCACCGACTATTTATCAAATTAGTTATATTAATTTCGGAAGAATGTTGTGGTCACAGTAGAAATCCAAGAACCCAAAGACTTCAACGTGCTTAAAATAAAGTTCATCTTTCTTTATTTATATTGAATGACAGAATTAGTAATAATAAAACATACCTTAAGTGTACATATTTAGTGTGACTATAATTTACGTAGTTTTAATTATTCTTGGGATAAAAATTGCCTATATTAAAAATGATAAGAATCGATTCAGTAAACGATTCTGAACAAACTACTTTCTCAAAGTGCGTTAATTATGTTACGTGTTGTATAAAAATCAACTATTTACATATATTATTATATACACTTTTGTAGCAGAGAACCGTGTCCTTCGTTCACTAAACTAGGTCGCGCGCGATGAATAGTATGCTGTTAGAGCAAATTTGCGTCACACGGCCACTCCCAACAGCGCTGCTGCTAGATAGTTATATTTTTCTACTCTATATAAATAGTCTTGTGTATGGTCGGTCATTTTAAAGATCGCTCCGTACAAGTTCATTTCGGACAGTGAACTTGTTCGTTCTATCAGTTCTATTAGCTCTATTTGGTCATCAGTACCATTAACCTGTTTAAATTGTATCTATCTGTGTGGAATGGTTATCTCAGTCAGACTGAATCTGAGAGGCATTCATTGGCTCTTGTTTACGCTAGTACTTCTTAGTGATTTGTGCTCTTGTCCTTGATTGGCTACTGATCGATTTTTGAGTTACGTTCACGTTTGGTGTTGGCGTCTTGCAAGTGTAGGTGTACAAAAAGAGCTGTTAGACCGATTAACAATCAGCATTCGGAAACGTTTCTTTTAGTACAGTGCCAAGATACGTTTCCTAATCGTTCATCGTTCGCGAACTACCTACACAACTGCTAGAAATAATTAGCGCCATGGCAGCTACTTACATAGCACAAGCTATGCGCAGGAAAGATACCGCGCTATAATATGACACTATGTGATATATTAACCACCATTATTACACTAATCTGTGTGTTCTGTTGTGTTATCATTTCTTGGGAGTTTTGGAGGGAACTTGGCCGTAGACATATTGCCGTCCTGTTTTGTCACTTGAATAATTGTTTGAAGTGGATTTGATTCGTAAAAGTGATGCGATTTTGTTAATTAAGTGTTCGCGCATGTGAACTATAACAGAAAACGATGAAACAAGTGCTTTGATTTCGATATAAATCTCATGTTATTTTGATCACTTGGGCGCCTTATGAACTTGAGTGGCTGTCATCATCAATTGTCCGCTAGGTTGAGTTGTCGTCAAAATCTCCCAAGGGCTTTGCAATATGACGCATCAGCATATTGTGAAGATAAACATTCCGAAAGAAATGATAGGCTCGAAGGGCTAGAACCCAGAGCCGTAAAGCCAGTTAAAAAATTTCAGTTGTTGTACACATCTATTATCTATTTATCTATGTGTCATTTCGTGTCATTTGTTCGCACGCCCGTCAGGCGATGCGCGTTGCGCTGAGATGGCTTCTTTTGGCATCATTATTAGTTTAACTATTTTATGATATTTAGTATTAAAACAAATAGTAGTTTAATTTAGCGCCTTAAATAATATTTAATTGCGTTAAAACAAAATGGCGAATCAATCTCAGAAAACTGTGTATCGACTGGTTTTAACAGGAGGTAATTATTACTTATCCAATTTTAATGCAAAAACACGTACAGGCTTAAATTCTTTTAGGAAAGTGCGCTTAGTTATTCGATTTTGTAACCTCAATGTAATTCGATAGGATTTTTTACATATCAAACATGCGGCGACTTGAGACCGTTCAATTTACAATCCACATTGTACTTTTTTAACCTATGCAGGACCTTGTGGCGGTAAAACTACTGGGCAATCCCGTCTTAGTACGTTCTTCGAAAACTTGGGATGGAAGGTAATTAATATTCCTTATTACATAATGCATATGTCTAATTGATACAATACAACTGATGTTCATAATTTTCTTAAAAAAATTCTGCGTCGTGGAACTGTAAAGAAGTCGCTTTCTACGTAGCGAGCGCAATATAATGGTCTCTTATCTTAAGAACTGATTATATATTAACTAATTCTTTATTAGTATTAACTTACATATTTTATAAATTCCATATTTATTGTACTCCCCTTAGAAATCATTTTGTGAAATACTATAATTTAAAACTAATAATAGGCCTATATAAAGTAACCATACCAAAACATGTATATTATATACAGGTGACACATTGATTCCATATGCTAACCTAAGAAATGTATTGTACACTTATTTTGCATTCTATTTTGTCTGTTATCTATATGTTAAAAAATCAAATTATCCCTATGGTTTCTCCATTTGGAGATCCAGTAAAACATGGTTCCACATTGTGTTTATTTCCAGGTGTTCCGGGTGCCGGAAACGGCTACCGTCCTTTTAAGGTATGAAGTGCAACCTTCATAAAATGATGAATGCATTCAATCACATATTTAACTTACATATTTACTTCTTGTTAATAAAAGAAAATATTTATTCTATAGGTAAGATGTTATTAGTAATGTCTGAAGAATTAGTAAACCTCAACTTACCTGGTCTTTTTATCTCTCTCTGAGTAGTTTATAAACAATATGAATGTCTGCAGACCACAACAATTGCACTTTACCCTTTTGTTGTTAATACAACTGATATGTGATTTTGTAGTATTAACATCATAGTTATTTTAATTATTATTTGTACTTAAGTCTGAAAAGAGAGAGTAAACCTAGGGTTCATCCTTCGGGCATTACCTGTAACATAATATAAATTAGTTAATTTAAAAAAAATTTGCTATGGTAATTTATGTTCATATTTTACTTTGGGTTTTACAAAAACATTACTTGGTTCATATCTGATACAGTCATATTATGTTCAATTTTATTTTCTTAAGAACATTAAATCAAGTTAAAATGCCATTTATTAGAATCAGTTATGATGCTATTAAGTTATTTATTTAATATAATGTGTTGTTTTTTCAACTTAACATTTTTTCTTTCAGTGGCGGTGTAAAATTTGCAGATCTCAGTCCAGATGAAGGTCAGTTATTTTAATTATTTAAAGCTTACATTAATTTAGTGGCTACAACTTTAACATCCTTCATGGATTTATCAAATATTATGGACAAATATCTCTGAAATATTCTATCATCACATTTCCTCATATTTAAAATCATCAATTTAATTTCATTTAATGCAGTAGATATTTTCCTATCCTATGGTGATGTAATGATGAGGGAGCTTATGAAATATAATTATGATTAAATCTTTCTTCCAAATTTCGATGATACTTGCTGCTTTGTTTAAAATGTAGTACTGTAAAGTATATAATTTTGATGATAACATCCATGGGTGCCATCAGCATTACTTTTAGGGACATCTGTGTCTACACATTATACTATTAACTAATATAAATTATAGAAGTATACATATATTTATGTAGATAAATGTAATGTCAAATTTGAATCGCGCAAGTATTTGATTGAATATATTTCGCTCATTGATAAACATACTTAATCTCTGTAGCTGATGGTTGGCAGTATTGATCTCTCCTGCTTCTGTGCGATATGCTCAGTGTTCACAGAAAAAGAGTAGAAGAGGATACTGTATTTATTCAGAAGGTTTTTCTATGTATCAAAATTTGTCTGTATTTTTTTCCTGACAAATAATTCCTGATTTTTCAGGGCAAGTGCACCCCCTTGCACCCTGCTGCCGGCGCCCTTGATAATATACATGTATTACAATCACATGATCATTTTTGCATCTGTTTTTTTTTTAATGTATTCTATTAAGTATGACCTGTAGCTGAAGGTTATAAACTATCTGCATAGATATGTAATTATAGTTTATGACTTACGAAAGGTAGGAAGGCAATGCCTATGCATTTTTTATGGAGTAAAGCCAAATTTTTACTTAGTATAGCATAATTGTAAATATTAAATAATTTAAATATCACCATGAAAGCCTTTCTCTGAAAGTCCAAAAGCTTGAAAAAGTCTCAGTGTAGGGAAAAATAATTTCGAGGATTAGAGGACCCTGTTTTACATCTCTTTGTAGTTAGATAGTTTTCTTATTCTGGTTTTGTACTCTGAAAGCCACGTTGCCTGACTGTACAAACACTTCAGTACTTCGATATACCGACAGTCAGTTTGGCGCAGCTAAAAGAACTGTAAGCACCCATCAATTTCGACGGAATCCAAAGATTTTCTCATATTTTTTTTTAGTTTTCCGTACAATTTTCCTAAGGGATATATGTGTTTTATGGTGCCCCGGGGAAATCTGATTGTCTGCGTGCGAGACGATTCATTATGACTCGATAAGGACATTGGTCAGTACTTCTTCAACTGAAAATTGCCGCCTTTCATAAAATAATACGACCACAGCATTTCCGTTTCACGTCTCCTGAGTGTGATGTGTGACCACTCAAACTCACTTTAAATCTCATGTCGACCGGAAACGACGCTGCCTCAGTGGGGCTCGATGTGGCTCTTGTTTTATTTGGCAGATGGATTTCTAGCAGTCTCCATAGTCTTTATTTTTAAAAGAAGCTACTGGACGGAGGCTTTTTGAGCCTTCGTTCTGTTCAATCGCTTCTTTATTATCATATCCTTTAAATAGTAGGTATTTAGGACTTAGGACGTTATTATGTCGGATTTCCAATATGTATAAAACAAACTAAATTCATTTCTTAACATGACATGGAACTATATAGTCTTAAAGTTCAGTATAAAAATTAGAATTACATAAAATGCTAATTTACCAATTTACCGGCACGAGATACTGTTCGCAGTCACATGTGTGGTGTTTATTTTCGTCACAATCTTCGCCTATTGAAAATCACCGGATACAATCCCCGTATCAGTCACGTGTCTCGGTCTGTCGCGTCATGTATTTCAATACTCATGAAATCATGAAAGAAAGTAAGATAATCTATAAATTTACTAGAAATTAACTAAAACAAAATAAGTTAACACTATATTCAAGGAATATTTTTAATTATTTGTAAATAGTTATATTAAAGAATAAAAATAATCTGATATATATAAAATTAGATATAATTTGTTCGTATGTGTGCACACGCGCGAAGGGTTTTGACAAAAAGGCATTGCAACGCAAGCGGGGAGCAGTTAGTTTTAGGTACTATAAATTGTAGGTAGTTGGTACGTCTGTTAGTGATCGTGTAACTTCTGAACGACATGAGCATGACCTATTAAGGTCATATTCACACAATATATTTTCTTTTGTCCAGACGAAGGTTTATAGCTATGATAGAATGCGAAAGGTGGCGCTTTAGTTGAGGTATCAAGAGGGTAGACGGGCTGCATTTTTTCCATACAAATGTGTTGTCCTATTTTATTCCTGGTTAATGCCTCTAGAGTAATCGTATTTGTTTATAAAAATCTAAATCTATTGAAGGCATGCCCCTGTCATTTACTTTTTTTTCAAAAAATTATTACAAAAATAACTACTTTCCAAAAATCTAAAAAAATGCCCCGTTTTTAACTCCGTAATCAGACACCAAAGAAATTTGAAAGTTTTTAAGATAAAAGCACAGATCTATTCTTCCTTTAAATTTTCATACTATAAAAATAATTTAATTGGCTTAGTTTTCCAGGGGAATACGAAACGACGATCGGTCATGGTTTTTGTAGGTAAAATCGTTTTGGGCTGCAGTTGTCCCTATCGCACTCTTCGGGTGGAGACCAGAGGTGAGGGACGGCAATAGTTTCTTCAAAACCTATTTTTCAATTCCTGCGCAGACCGTCTACCCTCTTAACAAATTCTATATTTACCAAGCGCAACGACTCGAGTAGGTTTAGTTTATTGCTTTAGTGCCAAAAAAGAAAATAACAAAATCTGGATCCAATAGGTGGCGCTGCATTACAATTATTAGCAAATTCTATAATAATGAACCTAAATGACTTACATAGACATAACAATTTTAAACACGAACAACATTACGGGCGGATTAACGCGGATAAAAACCGGAAAGAAAAGAACAGCGTCTGCTGATCTAGTTTTTTATCAGTTTTGACTGCCTCGTTGGTCTAGTGGTTGTAGTAGTGCGACTGCTGGTCTTGAAGCCCTGGGTTCGACTCCCGGGTCGGGCCAAAAAATCAATTATTGAGTTTTTCCGTCAAGAAATTCTCAGTAGCTGCCCGGAGTCAGGAAGTAGACGGTGTCTCATCCCCGTGCCCTCGGAAAGCACGTAAAGCCGTTGGTCCTGCGCCTGATCTCTTTGCGGTTGTGTCGGTTTTCGTCCCATCGGATTATGAGAGTGAGGAAATAGAGAGTGCACCTGTGCTTGCGTATGCGCTTGGGTACTATAATCCCTTCTGCTCCGTCGACATAAATTAAAAACTTACATTTGAAAGAATTGGAGAGAAATTACCTTACGCGGCAACCAACACACCATACTATAGTAATACGGCATAAATCCCACTGTCCAATAAAAAAGAAAAAGAGTTGTAGATACACATAATAAATTGAAGTACCATTTTGTTTTGATAATGTGTCTTCTTAATGATTTTTAAAAGAATACTAGTAACGTTTAACATTACTTATACTCCCGTTGACTTGAAGTAGCTAGTAAGCTTAAAATGCTTATTTTAGGAGTGGTTCACGACATTAGCCGAATGGCGGATCGAACCCCCGACTTTCCGAGTTTGGATTCTGTGCCCTTAATCATTAGGCTACTGTTGCTTTTAAGATATCGTCATATGAACCTTCAGCATGTCATTTAGGTGAGTCTGTATTAGACAATATGACTGCATCATTTTCACAATCACTACTTTAGCCGTTAAACATGTCGCTGCATTACGCAAAGCCGCCTAATCAGATTATTTAACATCGTAATACATCTTATAATATAAATAACATTTAATAGGTGATCGTTACGACTGTGCTGGAATTTATAGGACTTCACGGATGACCATGTGCCCGCTGAACCGTTGCGTTGTCTCGTGGTCAAGTTCATGGTTGATCGATTATAAAAATGTATGCAAGGATTGTACCCAATAGAACTTCCTGAAGTTGTTTGACGCGAACGCCTTATCTAATCGATGGAAATGAAGATAAACACCAGTGTAAGCAATAATAAACAATGGTTAATGCCTTCCAAGCGTCTACGAGATTGTTTTTGTTTTTCTTAAAACGTGAGGAATTCGCGCGTCATTAGCATGCCTTCGAGTTTCCGGTTTGACTTTCGAGACTATTTTTATAAATGGTAGCTGTTTTATATTTTAATTTCACAAAAAGTTATTGGTACGACTTTCCATTGACGTCCGTCGAGTTGGAGGTGTACTACTCCCCCTTAAAAGGAAAAGTTGCGGAGCCCCCCCCCTTTTTTGAGTTTTTTCAATTTTAATTCTGAGGAAATTTTATTTTTTATGGATAAATATTAAGTGTAAAAAACCATGGGGACCTCTTGGGGGGAAGGGGGTACCCCCTAAGGAACCTTCACCAAAAATAAATAGAGGGACTCATTCAGAGGGATTTCTGTATCTATTTTGAGACTGCAACGTCTCCGGCGCTGCGGGAAGAGCAGCCTCTACGCCTTTGCGTAACAAATCGCAAGCATCCCGCTTGTTTTCTTCTCTTTTTTTGTCTCTTGTTTGTTTGATGCCTACGATTTGTTACAGCAGGCAGAGGCTGCTCTACCTACGCGCCTCCGGCTCTTTAAAAACACTAGGGGTAGGATAGACTCGTACCACGTGGAGTCGGGGTCTATTAATTCGGTTCCTTGACATAAGTTTAATCTAACCTATTTTATTTGTTATCTGTCCTAATAGGTGGGTACTGTTTTATACACATGTTTTATACAATTTTATACACATATTGCTTTAATTAATTCTTAGAAATCGTCAGTTTTACGTTACGTCCCACAAGCCGGCAAAAAACGGTAAACACTACACATTTTAATTTTAATAGCTCATAATGATAATAATTCTGTAATTTAAATATAAACTGTTAAATATATATGTATGCATGAAAACTATTTAAATGAGTACAAAATATAATTATTTAAGTAAAATGTACAAT